GGCAAGCTTGCTTTTCAAATGTGGCTTGATGTACGACAAGCCGAGATGTGTTCCACCTTATACTTCTTCTGGATAACTGCTCAACTAGTTAAATGGCTGCTACACCGATGCAGACATCTCGTAAAGATTAGCCTTTCATCTGATCACCTAGTATTTGATCTTCTCTACCCTTCTAAGATTGCAGCAGATTACAGGTTAACCAGGCCTGTGGCAGTTGCCTACATCTGCGGCAAATAGTAAAGGGGACAGCCGCTCTTCATAAGAAGCTTTGTACACATAGCTGCACTATTTAAGTATTTGAGTAGAATTTAGCACTGGTATAAGGTGGGAGAAGGTGAAGGAAAAGTGTTTGGACATATAATAGTGATTATTGAAGGAAGTTGTCGGACATAATGAAGTTGAAGTTTCTTATAGATGTTGTTACCTAACCTTGTATAATAAGCCTATATTGTCAGAGGGGTAAGCGAGGAACTTTTGTTGTTATCACTAGCTCGTATTGTGGAGGTAACTAGAATCCCTAATCTTCACGTATTATCTTATTAGGTTTTTCAATCACCAGTATGACACCTGCAACTAACCTAACTTATTGTTAGCTGCATTGGTATTGGCTGCTATATCTTTCTGGATACAGTAGGATGCAACTCCTTGGATACTTTTGGATAATAATAGTTGTACACCAGTTTCTTAAATGTATTTAGTTTAGCCATTAACAAGTAAACAACATTGGATTTGGTATGTCGATCTTTTGGAGGGGTAAACCATTCATTCTTTTTCTGTAAGGCTATAGAAGAGAGAAAATTTGAAGCCCATGTCTTAAGAGAAGTTACTATTTCTGCATATGGTCTTGAGAAAAGGGAGCCGACTGGCCAGGGGGTTGATGTTAAGAGTGAGTTTTATAAAAGAAAGAGAGGCCTAGAAAGAAAACCTTTAGAAAGAAGGGAAAACCTAACTTTGGTAGGGAAGAGAAAAGAGAAAGGAGAGGGAATAAGCTTTATATAAAGAAGTCTATATAAAAAAGGGGTATGAAATAGGGAGGAGGAAATAAAATAATATGGGAAAGGGGAAAGGGAAGAGCAAAGAAAAAAAATAAACAACTTAAAAATTTCCTAAAAAAGAAATTTTTAAGTACAGAAGGAGGAGTGGAAAAGAGTTTTTTAATTTTAAAAAACTTTTTTTTTTATTTTTTAACTAGTTTTTATATATAATTTTTTATATATAATTTTATAATTAAATTGAAAAAATCATCTCTCTTTCATAAACCATCCAACAATTATGATTTTCAAGTCGAAACCCAACCAACTATTACCTCTCCTGAAGAAATTATAATTGATCTATCTAACATAGTTGCTAATACGTTTATTCATTGTAAATATAATTATCCTAAATGCATTTAGAAATTAATATCTTTATTACCTGATACCTCTTTCTTTAACATTGAGTAGGTATTCATAGCTGCTTAGTACCTTTTGACAAGATATATTGTTTTAAATTTTCTTTTCAATATTAGTCAAATGGTTACTGTAGGCAAGCTAGTATTTAACTTATTGTACTTATATATGAGAAATGTTGTTTCTTTCATGACAAACCAAATAAAGAAATGATGTTTACTTATAAAAATATATATATATATATATATATTCAAAGTTTATAAGCAAATGAAGTTTATATTAAATTATTAAGTAAAAAAATTTTTTTTATTATAATTTAAAAATTCATGTAAAAATTATCAATACTTATGAAGTATACATACATATATAGTTAATAATTCAACTAGTAACTAGCAATTATTTACCTTTTTTTTTTTTTTTCCTACTTGAGTTTTCAAAGGTTCGCATGTCTCAACTTTTATTTTTTGATAGGCTAGGATTAATTTACTTTGTAAAGATTTTTAATGTATTGGTAACAAACAAAAGTTTAATAAAAATCTTTTGCATTTAATACTTATCAAAAAAAAAAAAAAAAATTCATGTGAAAAGTCGTGTGACTGCTATGAAGATCTAAATCAGCTTATGTAATTGATCGACGTCAGATGATTTTTGGCACAATAAAACGCGTATCCATGTTACACGGTGTAACATGGATACGAATTCGCTGTTGATGTTGAAAGCAGCAAGTTGGTTAGTCACCTCGAAAAAGCTATTAAGGAGGAGAAACAGAATGACTTCGCTTATGTTAACGCCGACAAACTCAAGTTATGGAAGGTCGACATTCCCCTCAAAGGAGAAAACGATAAATTAATCGCCATAATACAAAAATAAACATTAATATACAGAACGAGCTTGAGGTGTAGAGCTGACTCCGACTTCGAAGATTAGCAAGCACTTCTCAGTATAGCGTCCAGTTGAAACGAAAGAGATCCATTGTACTGGAGGCAAAGGTTGGTATTACAGTTGTCGATAGAAAAACTATACATCGCGATCTTTGATCAATTTTACAAGGTCTAAACGCTTATAACTTTTCATATAGTCAAGAAAGCTACCAAACACTGTGACTCAATATGTTTTTCAGCACCTCCCTCATAGCGCATTGAAGCGAAGAACTTTTATATATATTTTAATTACTCCATCTTGTCAAAAGGTACGAGAGTACTCAAGAAAACACTGGAGGCATTAAGTAACGATTCTGAACTTGGTGACGTTGCGAGAGGATATTTGGAACGGGACGAATTCTTCGAGAATGATAAGGTAAAACTTTATTTTGAGCGAAAAAAAGAATGGATAAAGAGAAAATAGGTGCAGAGACAACGTTAAGTATGGCAAGCGAAAGACGGAAATTTCCCACAAAAACTCTCGATAACTTGAAGAAAATAGCAAAAAAGGTCCATCTTTCAGATGAAGAATCTGAAGTTGAGATTGCGATTGAGAGTGAGGGTGAGGATGAGCCCCAACAAGATAAATACTCATCGAATATGCCTCCTGTCGAAGTCGAAAGTTACGGAAACCAAAACTAAAACCTGCCGTTCTATCTTGATAGACTTCCTATCTATGGTGAATACTTATGTATGGAGGAGGACTGGATAATCGAAGACGTAACCTTAAGCAATAATTTAAAGGGAACTGGGTTTGTCTAGAAATATTTTCATCAATAAATGTTACTTGCTAGGATTGATTGGATTGATTAATACGTTATTCATTGTTTGTTTAGTATAATTAGACGTGACCACTTCAACTTTTCGGATACGGTGTGTACATCGCAGATAAGCAATGAGCACTGGAAAAATGTCTTGATCCCATTTTTGACACGGCACAAGTTGAAAAATGCACTTTCCACGGAAGATGAAAAAAAGCTGGTGGAAATGTTCGGAGAGAAAAATGAACAGAAGCTCTTTGAGCAAGGAAACTTAAAATTGGTAGTCAGCATGTGTGATACCAGGCTCTACGTCATAGGCACGTTTTCCAACTTTCATCTTTAGTATAATATCTTATTACTCTATTAATATCAAGTACAACTTTTCTCCACATCCTATATTGATTGATTTGTGTTCACATTCGAAGTTGCAGACCAAGTCCCTTTAGATTTCATTGATGAATGTTGCGTGCAATATACCGTTGTGGAATGGGCTGCTGTGATCCCGGGCATTTGCTGTTACATTGGTAGTTACCACATCCGCCGTTGCAGACTATAATCCTTTATATTTCTTGACGAATGTTGCATACAATATACCGTTATAGAATGGGTCGCTGTGATCGCGGAAATTACATGTTGGTATAATTTACCACATCTGCCGTTGCAGACTAAATCTCTTTAGATTCCCTTAACGAATTTGCATGCAACATACCGTCATAGAATGGGTTGCTGTGATCGCGGAAATTACATGTTGGTATAATTTGCCACATCTACCGTTGCAGACTGAATCTCTTTATATTTCCCTAACGAATGTTGCATGCAACATACCGTCATAGAATGGGTTGCTGTGATCGCGGAAATTACATGTTGGTATAATTTGCCACATATGCCGTTGCAGACTAAATCCCTTATATTTCCTTGACAAATGTTGCAACATACCGTTGTGGAATGGGTCGCTGTGATCGCGGAAATTACATTTTGGTATAATTTACCACATCTGCCGTTGCAGACTAAATCCCCTTTAGATTTTCTTAACGAATGTTGCATGCAACATACCGTTATTGAATGGGTCGCTGTGATCGCGGAAATTACATGTTGGTATGATTTGCCACATCTGCCGTTGCAGACTAAATCCCCTTTATATTTCCTTAACGAATGTTGCATGCAATATACCGTCATAGAATGGGTTGCTGTGATCGCGGAAATTACATGTTGGTATAATTTGCCACATCTGCCGTTGCAGACTAAATCCCTTTATATTTCCTTGACAAATGTTGCAACATACCGTTATTGAATGGGTCGCTGTGATCGCGGAAATTACATGTTGGTATAATTTGCCACATCTGCCGTTGCAGACTAAATCCCTTTATATTTCCTT